TACGCCTCTGTTGGTCAAAAATACGCTCGTACTTCAAGGCTGGCGAGAAAGTCACTTACTATATAATGTATACAATGTTGCTGTTTAAAATACAATTTGGAATTAAGTACATTAAGTTCTTAAATCGCAGTTCAAAGCCACCACGCCGCCACAGCTAGATTCCTTTGCGATTACGTGTTCCGCATTGTGTGGATCTTTACACAAAGTATGTCAGACACCAAACAAGAAGAAATACAAATCAGACTACACCCAACATTGGGATTTCTTCCACGAGATAAATATTTGCGCGGTGAACATTGAAAACACTCTGGCTCCATACCTGCAATGGTGAAGTCCGAAACTGTTTTTTTTTTGTTTGTTTGTTTGTTTTTTTGTTTGTTTTTGTTTGTTTGTTTGTTTGTTTGTTTTTTTTTGTTACAAACTGTTAATATTCACTGTCACTATTGCTTCTGAATAATTTTACCGCATTAGGAAGGAAAACAGTGAAAATAGGAGGTTTGCCTGTTACAATAATTATCGATTCTGGCGCTAGTTGCAATGTCATAGGCCGTAGTGCGTGAGAATATTTGAAAGGCAATAAGGTTAAATGTGTGTCCAGCAAGGCTTCCAAGAAATTGTATTTATATGGTAGTAATCAGTCACTACAATTTGCTGGCACATTTACTACAGAAGTTTCTGTTGCAGAGAGAGTGCTAAGTGGAGTTGAATTTATTGTTATTGAAAATAAGGGACAGGCCCCTCTAGGGCGAGAAACGGCCATTGCTTTAAAAGCTCTAAAGTTGGGAACTCCAGCTCAAGTTAACTCACTAGAGGCATCGACTGATGGGGCTAAAGGGGCACCCAGTGTTTTAGAAAAAATCCCCAGATGCTGTGAAGGTTCTGGCAAACTAAAGGATTTTCAGCTTAAAATCCCAGTTGATCCAGAGGTACAAACCGTAGCACAACCCATTAGGCCAGTACCTTACCACCTACGTGATAAGTCGAGCGACAAATTAGACGAACTTGTCAAACTCGATATTGTCGAGAAAGTGTGTGGACTAAGTACGTGGGTATCACCAGTGGCAGTAGTGCCAAAGCCCTCAGGTGACATCCGTTTGCGTGTAGATAGGCCACAGACCAACATGGCAGTAAAACGAGAACGCTAACCAATACCTAACATTGATGAAGTTTTACAAGATTTGAACCAGGGCATTTTTTAACCACTGTAAACTCTGGAAACTGACTCGGTCAGCCTTAGTCCCAGGATTGCTGCCATCAGTTCTAAACGAGGTATACTTGTTGCCGCAAGTGGTGCAATTCTTGTCTTGGCTGCAACTAGTCGACTGGATGCTGATCCACTCTGGTAGATAACCTTCAAATAGACAATAGCACCATATGCATCTTGCGATGCGTCTACAAAGGTGTGTAAGGTCTCCGACAGTACAACTTCTTCTGGGCCAAATCGTAAACATCTGGGACCTTTAATCGTTGGTAACTCTTCCAACTCACAGAACCATTCTTGAGACTTGTGGATCAACT